CTGAATTCGTATGGCAGGAATCTATTAAGAACCAGTTACAAATGGAGGGCTGGTCTCAAATTCCCGTGGTGTCTACCACCCCCCTGAAGTTCCCTTATCATACTAGCAGAGAAACTGAGGTTCTAGTCATGAGCTTGTTTTACAAAAACAATCTTCTAAACTCATTTCTTTTTGTCCTTGACAGACTGAAATGGCCATCTCCCTATTGTTCCTGTGGTCATGAAGAACAAACTGCAATTCATATACTGACTAGTTGTGGTCATGTTGACGAAGACCTTAGGGACCAAGCCTCATATCTTCTCAGTATTGGTAACGAGGTCTCCAATCTGGAAGATCTGGGTACTCCACACTTGGCGATCCTAAACTGCTCCAGAGATCCAAAGTTCATCCAAATCTGCAGTGAATGTGTGAATAATGATGACCTCAAGCTAAGAAGGAAGATCTGTATTTCTACAGGGCCCACCCACGCCTAGCTGGGGAGTCTAGTCCCTACACTAGACGGCCAATGCTCTATCCATTGGTATGTACGCGGCCTTACCCAGGCCTGTAATAAATGGGGAGTCCCTCTTAGGACGACCAGTGCTAGACACTGTTTACTACTGACTGAATGGAAACCTACTTAACTCTTTGGATTGGTAGAACCTGTCTGGTTACATGAACATTGGAGCTAGTTTTATATTAACTCACATGATATTATTGTCGACTTAGACTGCTTGGATGTATCACATCTCAACCATTGTTGGGTGTGTTACTTTGTTTTGGGCTTCACTTTTAAGCTTTATTGATTTTATCTATAAAATTGCATCTCCATTGATATTTATGTAACTCGAAAAACTTTTTCTACCAAAAACGTTTTTGATCGGGAATCGTCTTTAAATTATTTTGGGGAATATTTTGACTTGATATAACGACTTCGTCGTAATGACACAAGTGACTGATCAACCACCTTATTTGATAGTGTTTTTAAAAATAAAGTATTTAAATTTTTAACTTGGGGTGTAAATATTTTTAGGGTTTTTATTTTTTAAATTTCAGATCTTTCATACTATTTGTTACTAAAATGCTCATTGTAGCCTATAATATTTAGATTTTCATCATCAAATATGAGGCCATCGATATTTCAAACCGTACAACGTGTCTAATGGTTATTCTTCTAAATAAATCAAATACCTTTTTGCTTATGAACAGTCGTTACACCACTGTTGCATAGTAACCAAGGTAATACTATGCAACAGAATCAGTCGATCATTACGTTCTACACTCACTCTTGACACACGCTGTAACCCCTTTTAAGCGTGCACGAGAGGTATACAACGTGTAGCAAACTCACTCCACCACACATGCACACAAACCATTGAAGCAGGTTACACGCAGGGGCGTGCCGAGGGGGAGGGCGATGCAGGCGGTCGCCGCCCCTTTTTGAAATGCTGACCTATAATTTTTGTTGAAAATTGCTTTTTACAGCAACAAAATATTTTTATTAAAAATTTTCACAACAAATTGTAAATTAAGATTAAATGACACCAAACACAAGTTTTATTTTCAAACAAATGTACTAAATTCGAACTAAATTAATAAGGTCGTAACACATGCGTTGTGCACACATTTTCCATGAGATGGCTGCCCTAAATCAGACATAATGCTGTTTAATGATTATAACTCAATCGACTCTGTTCAAACATGTTGCCAACAACACCACAAGTACGTAATTATAATTTCATCAATTCTTAAAAGTTAATACCTACATACTATTGGCTCAAGGTACAAGAACGTATTGAATTTAAAATACTCCTGCTAACTTTCAAACTGCTCCATGGGCTAGCACCTTCATACCTGTCAAACCTTGTTAAGTATAATTCCAGTGGTGGCAGAGATGTGTCTCTTCATTGCCCCATAAACAGTCCACCCAGAGCCTTCTCTTCATCTGCTCCAAGATTATGGAACAATCTTCCTCAAGAAATCAGGAAATGTGTAAACATCAAGGACTTTAAGGGAAAACTTAAAGCTTACCTGTTTAGAAAGTCCTTTGATTTGTACTGAGTAACTTATCCATTATAGAAGGTTTTAAAAAACAATTTACATCTATAGCAGGTCATTTTTACGCTTTAAATTAAATTATTTTAGGCTCTTAATTTTCAAGGATTTTTGGGCAACATTTAAGATAATAATCTTTTTTGCGTTTCATTGTGTCTGCCAACAAAATTGTATTGTAGGTCAGAAGAGGAGGCTCTATCCTGGGACACCAAAATTTTTTGGGTTGGCACCCGGGAGAAAGCTACCTTATTCTTTGTATTTTGTCTCAAGTACTAGAGCATTTTTTTCCTCTCTTTATTTCACCGTCTCTACTTTTATGTTGCCCAGATTGTTTGGTATGACTGTATTGGATCTTCAGATATAATTTTTATCGTCAGTTACTGTTCTGCAGTAATCTCTTTCAATCAATTTTTATTGTATATTGGAGTATTCAGATTGTTTGTATATTTGGAGTCTATAATAAAACAAAAGTTAATAAAACAAAAGTTAAATTTATTACCAATTATTCAATCAATACATATCATAAATTCTAATATTGGAAACACAATGCAAAATGGATGTCTTAAACTATAATTTCGTTGTGACTAATAATCTATTGACTTTCAAAGTTGAATTTTAGTTAAGTATGAAATGCCACCACATCATAGTTAGGGTAAAATATTATTCTTAAAAATTTTTAAAACTAAGAAGATTACTCTATGACTTAAAATTTAAAATTTAGCAAAAGATATCTAATTTTTAAATATTTGGTCACAGTTTATGACAGTACTGGCATGACCAATTTTATTGTGGCTGGTAAAAGGACCCAGTTGCCTGTAAGGGCTTTACCGAACCCCAGGGGACCACAATGTGATAAGATCAGGCCAGATGTTTCTATGTAGAGCAATTTATTTATTTTGGAGCTATGGTTGTATGATATTGCTGGTGGTCATGTTTAAAGGTCAGTTTATCCTTGTGTGCTAATTATCCATCCAGATGCTTAGTGATGTTGGTAAATCATGCCCTTCTACGATATATAATGTTTGACCATAAATTTGTTTTTACCACATAAACTGTGGCACTAATGTCAATTAACAATATTTACACTCATTGATATTTAAAGCGTGTTTTTTCCCCAGCACTACTACACAACAAAAACCTGTCAGCCCACCGAGGAAACACGGTCGCAGAACAAAGAGCCCAATTGTGCTCCTCTATTCTGTGATCGTGTGTATCTACTATAAACTAGCTAAATATACTAAGAAAATTTAATGGAATCATTACAGTCGTTTGATAAGTTCACGTGTCAAAGTAATGTTCATGGTCATGGTGATCATATTTTTGGATCACACTCGTCCGAAAGGTCAAGGCAAACCTGTCGATGTTTCACCATACGAAGTAAGGCGATTTGAACATATACTCAGCTTACAACTCAACCCATGGGACGAGACGTCGTGAGCCTCAAAATTCTTCAAAATGTTTTAAACTAATTACAACACTACAAATCTATTACATTTATTGAGAAAATTATGTAATGTAACGCGATGGAGGTTCTTTAAGCGGGCAATTCCAGTCCAAACCCTGGAAACATGATATAAAGGATTTGTTTTACTTGTTGCATGAAAAGCACTAATATAGCACATACCTAGTTAGCAAACACTAAACACAACATACATACGACACCAAATAATGTATAATGCCATTACTACATTCGAAAGAAAATATATCTGCTATCTAATTTAAAAAATTGAAGAATAAACCTGAAGAAAGGAGAAGGAGAGGGGTTTGGGAGAGGCAGAGTAGGAAAACAACAGGATCCTGTGCCGCAGGATTTTAAAATTTGTTGTATGATGATTCGTTTTGTTTCGTCTCTTAGATTAATATAGGTCTGATACCCTTGTCATGGTTCTTTGCAATAACACCGTGGTTTACTCAAATGATTAAGTTTAGTTAATTAACCTATTTCAATGATAATTCATTTGCATATAGAATTTCTATAGAATTTTTATAGAATTTTTAATATTTTAGGGAATTTCATTTTTATTATCCTGATTTTTACATTTGATAGGCTGATGAGTTTCATACTGTGATTTCTTGCAGTCATCATCCTTTCCTCAAGTCCTCTGTTAGAAAACCTGCTAAGCCTGCTTGTTAGGTGCATCTGCCTTATTTAGTCACGATTTTATTAACAATTTTTAACGTCTGTTTTCTGAACAGTTTCTTGTTTCACCTAAGGCAAAGATGCACACTCTCGTTAACTTAAGTATCATTTACAGCTGAGCATAAGGGTTAAATTTAAATTATTTAACCTTTTGGTGCTGTATAAAAATAACATTAATTTATTATTATTATTATTACTATCTATAATCATTCATGATTAATTATCATCACGTTACCAGAATTCAATTGTAATTGGGAAGGTTGAAAATGGATTAAACATTATACATAACATGACAAACGTGAATGCTAATATTTCCAGAAATGCCTCGGAGCCTTTCTGTACGACCGCCCACGCGCGAATCAGATTAGAATTAGGAAGTTGCATAGTAACAATCGTAACGGCGTTGAACGTGCACGTGAACGTGCTATAATTATTGGAACGTCATTTTATGGTGATTACGTTGTGTTCACTTATTCAGTGCGAGATACATTTTAATCGGCTGTGTCTTCGGTTGTGATGGATATTTTTGATGCAATAAAACTGTAACTTCCCTCCCTATGACCACGATCTCAATTACATCACAAATACATAGTACTTCCTAGATGGGAGTGATGGTTAATTATAAGGTAAAATATGTTATACTCAAATATAATATATAAAAGGCCCCTGACAATATATAAAATATATATTTTTTGCTTTAATTGATACTAAATAAAATTGTTGGTTTCTTGAAATTGTTGTTTTCTTGATATATTCTCACTGATATGATGAGGAAAGGGGGTTCAACTAATCTATACCATTTCCCATTGTTTATTTTACATTTTTATCCTGCAGTAGCTGACTACATGCAGCATCGTTCTTAATGGATTCTCTAATTTATACATTTCCGTTCCACTGAAAAGTATTAATATATTTTTTCATATAGTGTGATGATCCTTTGCACAGCTACAGATGCGTGATAATGTGGTGTCATACTTTTTACTTTACTTCACTTTGCTCTACTCCTACAGGCAACGTTATGCCACTGCACTGCGTCCAGCATGGATGATCACAGCAGTGCAACCTTAAAATATTGAAGTGGTTGTCTACTCAGAATCACTTACGATTTGGTTTCAGGGTTCAATCTCTTTACATTCAATCTCTTAACATTGCATTATGCCTCATTTCTGACAACCTTTAAATTTAGACGGGTGAATTAACAGAAAATTGTAGAATCAATTTAAAACATTGTAACATAACACATGTCAGCAAATAAATTAATGGGTAAGGGATTGTTCACATGTTTTTTAGCTGCATATGGACCAGTGGGAGGTAGAGTTGTGGGATTTAGAAATGCTAGTGTCTTTTCCACACTGTAGCTATGCCTGTGTGTAGTTATGGAGGGGGTCTGAAAATGGCACAAACAAAAATACAAAACATGAGAACGTTCCCTTAGCTAATCTGAATTGACTGAATCTAAATTTTCATAAGATCCCTGTCTGTCTGATGGAATTTCTATTGTATGTGGGAATATTAATTCAACTGCAGCCAAAATTGCTAAATTTGCTAGAAGTACACCAGCGAGAACAATGTAGGCATTTTGGTAGCTCATGAATTCCAACATAAATCCTCCAATAACGGGCCCAAAGAATGCCCCTGTGAAGTAAGCCGCTCGAAAGAGTCCACTCATTTGACAGGAACTAGTTTCCCTTGAAACATGCGTAATGTACTGATACTGAACTATCAAGCAAGGTAGAATACTGATCTGAAAATGAACTTTAATTAACCAATTGAATTTGGTCTTGACTTTATATTATTCCACAGTCCACACTCTAGCATTTTAAACTTCATTTCTCAGACAATAGAATTATTGAAAGAAAGCTTACTGTAACTTGTATCCAAAACAGAAGCTATTTGGGAATTAATTAACTATGGCGTTTACATTAGCTGGTTTTGGTAATAATAAATCTTGATGCATACCTGAGTCAAGCCACTGCCGAAGTCAATAACTGATAGCATAATTGCTGCCCAAACTGCACTGCTTTTTATAAACTCCTGGTCAATCGCTAAACAGCCACATATCATCATAGCCATGCCACTGAATATCATTGTCTTCCTCGGAACTTCTTTGTCTACTAACATTCCTGAAAACGACCAGTTAAAGCTTTTTAGAATCAGAGTCATGGTTTCATTAACAATTGTAATTGGTGATCCATGATTTATTTTAAGTAGCCAACTAAAAATGTTAATCCCAATGTCAAATATGATATCTTGTACCTGCTGTTACAGTTGCTATGCAATACATTAGTCCTGCTATGGCAAGAACAGCACCAACATAACCTTCTTGTTTGTTAAAAATCACGCTGTAAAAGTTAGGGTAGAAGGACTCTATTGTGTTCACAATCATGGATACTAGAGTCTCTGAGAACATCCCTAGAAGAACAACTGGCAGGATGAACAGTGATGCAATTGTTGTTCGTTCTTGATCTGTTCTGGTAGGTTGACTGTCTTCTGAATCGGAGTCTGGTTGATCATACATCACACTAGGACTCAAGAGTATCAGTCCTCCAATGCTAGCAAATAGGTTGAATACACCTGGTTGGTAAAACTCAACATTGTCAAACTTGCTAAATCTGTTTTAATCAATTTTATCTAGTTTAAATCAGAAAATAGTCTGCATGCAGTCAGCTATGTCTAGAAGTGAGATATTTGATTCTTTAAAAACGTTTATAGTTGTACCATACAAAATAATACTAACATGGAATTGTGGAGGCGACTGCAAAACCATGATTTTGATAGATAAAGCCACCCAAAAGAGGGCCCACTGTAGATGATATGCTAGCTGCAAGCTCAAAAGATCCGGTCACGAATCCTAGCCTCTCTGGATACAATGATGTCATAACTGACATAAGCTGAGGCTCTGAAACATGAAATATGTTAGCACTTAGTTTTAAGATTCTGTTTTGTCAATAGTTACTTCTGAAGAAGAAAAGAAAAGTGACCTTAGCCATTAATGATGATAAATTGTTCGATTCGGTATATCATTAATGTCACCCACCACATAACCCAATGACAAAACCCTGTATCATTCTTGTGATGAACAGAACAATGACAAAGGCTGTTTTGTCAAACTTGACGAAAAATATGGGAGCAGATAGTGTTAACACAATAACTGTGAGAAGTAAGGTCTGCCTAGGCTGGATACATCTGGTGAATCTATTGGAGAGCAATGCAGCACCGGCTAGGGAGAAGGAGAATGCGCCAACAATGCTCCCGGACGTTATCTTGTTGTGTTTCCAAACCTAGAGATGGTGTTATAGTTACATCTATCTTCTAGAGGCATGTATTTGTTATTTGCTGTGTTTAGGTGGTAATATCAATGTACAGTTCCGTTATTTATATATATGTTTAAATTATATAAAACTACATCTTTATTCATTTTGAATGGAAAGCTGTGAAAAATCTCACCTCAATAAGTTCATTGACCAAAAACGCTAGAGGCATGGTGAAAAAGAAGTACTGGGTTGTTATTGTAAGGAAACAGAAGGCAAACAGTGCTTTCTTCCACTTATCTGACTTTCCTGCCTTCTGAATTTCATTATTTTGTTCTGGTTGCTGAAGAATAAAGTTTGTAAATTTAGGCAGCAACTAACAACATATAATCTCTAATAGGTATGGTCCAATGAAGCAAGTATACGGTTATTTGCTCAGTTACCGCTAGTTAGCCACAAAGAATGGAAAATGATACACAAGTCTGTGATCTTTCTTGGAACAGGACACAGGAACTTGACGAAAGTGCCGGGGATAAAGAAAATAACCCCGTAAGTCAAAAGAACCGTCAGTGTATTAACACGTAATAGAATAATGAACAAAGTTTTAGGGTAATCCTTAAAAACTCGAAAACAATCACTGGACAGAAAACTCACCTCATCGTAGAACATGAGTACCCTTGTACTCTGGGTCAGATTCGGTTCGACATTTATTGGCTGTCAGAAGATGGTATAATTAACTTGGGTCTTAACTTATAGCTTACAATATCCTGGACAATCAGATAAACAAAATGATATATGCTAAGAGGTACGTATACACATTATACTATGTACAGTAAAGAAAGAAATACATGCCTTAAACTGAGAAGTGCAAGTGACTGTGAGCCGTGAGGGGTGAATGCGCAAATTAGACTTAATTACCCTCCACAATTAGAGCATTTCTTACTATCACAAAAATCAGACACAACAATATCGACCGATCTTTCCGTGACTGAAAATTCTCGTAAATTGTCAAGAGAGTCAAAAGGTTTCCCTTCAAAACTTTGAACGATGACAAATTTTTTATTGGAAACTTATATTTTGATCTTTAAAACGTTATTCGATCTCCACGTCTAATTTTATTTCCGCTACCTTGCGGTTTTCCATGTTGTAGTTACTTCCATCGTCCCTCATAAGAAGGCTGCCGTGTGTGAACGTTTCAATGAGCTACAATTATCAAAAAAGAAAGCGATGGTATGCTGGCTACACAATGCGATGCAATGCATTACATTCACAACTGCTATGTGTTGAGTATTCCTGGAGTGAAAATTACGTATTATATATATATTTAAAATCTTCAATAAATGTTTTTACGATTCACTTCCATTACAGGTGGCGGTATTCGCTATTAAAGAGCAACGACTTCTGATATATCCAGGTAACTGAATAATGAATATCTCTTACATTCGATGTATGAGAGCACCTTAAAACTGATCGTCAATTAAAAAAGAATGTAGAAACTGATGTACATTGAAGAAAAAAAGTAAATCCTCGAAAAAGGTACTCAATGGAATCGACCCACATAAAAAATAACAAACCATATCTTGGTGATCGGTCGACCCAGTTTTGTGGGCAAGCTTGTTACGTTCTTCAAGATAAAAAGAATATTCTACTTGATAGTGGCCGCTCAAATGCTTTCCATCTTGTCAAAATCTCGATGAAGGAAATAGCAAATGGAGGGTGGAGTATTTAAGAAATAATCGGAAACGATATGCCGTGCGTTTATCCAACTGTCCATTACAGACATTTAAACTTCAATAGTAACCTGTACTGACCTGTAAACGTTAATATAATATCTAAATCAAAAATTATAACAGATAATTACTGATGTTAATATGTTATGACTTACTTACGTCTTCCTACCCGGCTTATATCAATAGTCTTCCCCGCCATTTGCTGATCTTAATGGCGGGTGGGTCACGCTTAAATGTGTGGAACAGAGTAAGTTAAACATGCTATTTTTCCAAACCATTTGTGATAAGTGCATAATTTTAGTAATTTCATATTAAGTCTCGCTTGAATGTCTTAAATGTACATCTTCTTTTGGGCATTTATATGTCCAAGCGTGTAAATAAATATGATAATTTATTTATTAATTTATAAGTATGATTAATGATTATTTTATAATATTTCAGGCAACCAATATGTGATTGGACGTGGAAATGGAGTGTCACTTCAAGTTCGGGCAAAGGTTTGTTTCTATGATTCATTAATTTCTCACTTTATCTAACTGACTGTTAAAAGTAAACAATCACGACATTGAAATTGTTTTCAGCTGAAATTTGTAGCCTTAAAGCTCCGAAATATTGAATTAAAAACAGAGAAAATCACGGATATTGTAATAACTTTTTCCGGAGCCAAAATTGATAGAATCGCATCGTCTATATCATGTATGTATCAATCTAACATCTTAACTGTTTTTACAGTTCTTCACCCAGCCAAATTAGTCAAGAGACTGAAATTTCGACTGGCCTAAAAATCTTTGTGGCGAAATCAATATTATAAATTCAGACAATAATAAAATTTATACCCAATTTCAGACATTATCAAAGCAGCACGTCCAGATAGAATACGAGGGAGGAAGCCATCTTATTACTGATCTAGGCAGCAGGAACAAGACTAAACGAGGCGGGGTAAGTAATGACTTTCAGCGGTTCCCAAGGATATTACCTATCACTTTAAGATTTGCTCCTCAAAAACTTGTGCTCATTGCAAGCTTTTGATATAGCTTACAACAGGGCGTCAGGATTATTGGCACGTTTGATATTTCATTAGTATGTTTTTTGAAAATTAAAGCTTGTTCAAAAGCTCTCTTTCCCCCAATAGATGAAATGGAATTTGTTCGTGTGGATTCATATTTCATCCAGAAATTCAGGGGAGGCGGCTGAAGGGTTCAAGGAAAATACTCCGAATTTTTCTCTTTCGGGATTATTGAAAAAATTATCCTTTTTCGAACTTCGTGTTTAGGCTGCACTGAAGGATTACCTCTCGATTTCGAATGATCAAAACTACATAGCATAACTACTTAGGAAATCGACTCTCAAAATCAAGTTATGGTCGTTTTTTGAAAGCTTTGGCAAATTGAAATGTCACGCAAAATTGTCAACACGCCAATGATTAAGACAACCTGCTGTGATAGGTTAATAACTAGGTTATGATACCGTTCTTGATTAAATACCAGGAATACCGAACCCGTTATCTGCCAAAGATAAACTGACAAGCAAGCAGCATGATTCATGAAATTACAAAATCTGGTCAATAAAAACCACAAAAACATGCATTTACCTAATCATAAGATCTTGTTTATGGAGTTATAATTTTAAAATTCGTGGTGTCCAACTTATAACTTTTAACTTTAATATCCATTTGATAGTTTAGTTCATCAAACGAATTAAAGTTACAAATTATATGACAATTTAAAAGTAACAAATAGCAGACTAATGTAAAATGTTGTTGTACTGCAGACTAATGTAACATGTTGTTTTATCAGTTGTTATTGCGTCCCAATGTGGTGTATGAGTTGCCCGACAGAGCGGAGTTACTGTTAGGCGACACTAAAGCCACCTACAACTACATTCACGGTAATTATCTCATTTAATTTACCCTAATTTACCCTAATTTAATCATTATAAGATTGACCCTGGGCCTGATGAAATGATGGACGTGACTTGGTCTTAATTTTAAGGAGTGCCTGAGTAAGCTAAGATGAGAAATATTTCAGAGAATGCGGCAAACAATTTCCTGGGTGTGACAGCGGGACGACTTCCAAACTGGTAAGATATAACGAGATAACCGGGGTAACAATAACACTGTAGTTTGATAGGGAACCCCTTCTATATGAAACTATCTGCATCTTAATTAACATATTGCTATGTCTGTTGGACGTCGTTATGTTTGCAATTACTGCAGTCGTTGTCATGTAGAATCAGTACTGTGCGCGATAGCTCCAGCCCTGGATCGTTTATGAATGAGGACAGAGTTCCAGTTGCAATCGTTGGGTCCTTTCTAACTGTGTTGTAAGACACATTTTAAGATAGAAAGACATGTTTTTGAGATGGCAGCATTAGACATTGCCATAATGGCGATAAATACAGATTATTCCACCCAAAGTACGACTGTAACGGCGTTTGAGCGGTCAAAAGTTGAGAACAGTTAGATTGATCTATTTAGCATGATTTAGAAATTGCTCTCAACTTTACTATGTTAATTATCATTTCCAAGTAAGTAGTAAAGTGCGTACACCTGTACAGGGAAAATTGGCTTGAAAAGATTACAAAATTGTCTAGCGATTAATTAAATCATAAAGATTACCACGGACGATCAGTCTTCCTGATTCCTCACGATCACCATGCCCATTTCTAGAACCATCATAATCCTACTGATTTCCAACAAATAACCATCCACATTTTAGTTAGATACAACTCTATCATAAAATCCTTGGCCAACTTGATTTTTGGCCGCTGGCAAAACATATGTCTAGGGGAAATGGCATCCAGGTTACTGTAGTCTGTAGTGCGTGCCTCATTTATAAGCGGAACGTTAATGAAGGGCCAACCACGTGCAATTCCAGTGTGTTTGTTAGATGCTCGTGTTGATTCACCGAACATTGATTTTCGCGATTGGTAGAGCAGCTCCTACTGACTTACTAAAGTATGAATGGTAGGAGAAATTATCATGCATTCCGTATAATTCAGAGACAGTGGACTCCAAAGAAGTAATTATCAAATGACGAATAATCCAATGAGTATGAACATTATGGCAATTTCTTTGCTTTCTATTCTGGGTATCAATGGCATAAAATGGCATAGATTTTTATGGCGTAGATGGCTAAAATGTTTGTTCAAACTGACATTTATGCCATTGCCCCCCCCCCCCCCCCCTATCTACCACATGCAACAAACTGAAACATCAAATTTGGGAGATTAGCCCCTCGCTCGTGATGACTAGGATTGTGGCACTATATTAGTAACATTTCGTATATATTAGTAATGTTTTGTGATATAATTACGAAATTATGACCCTGGACCACTCATTAGTTGAGTTTATAACATGTCCGTGCGGGTTACAAATTTTAACACTTTAGCTGGGTCAAACCGGTAGTCTAGATATTGTATTATGTAGACAGCACAACTACAGACTTCAATTGCACTGGTTACAACCACATAGGATTGATCTTATATTACGTATTCGGTATTAGTATAAGGGGAGAGCAACCAAGTATATTAGGGGAGAGGTTTTGGAAATACTAGAGGGGAGGGGGGCATTTATTCCTCAACTTTTGGTCAAATGGGCAATGCAAATTTGCAGCTAAAACAGCTAAATCTTTAAAGTTGTGATGAGAATAAACATCGCCGTCCTATAACCTATTCGGAGCACAGCTATATTTCAGCTAAATTTAAATTTTCAGTCAACATAAAAAAAATAAAATATTTCTGACCGGAAAATGATGCCCCTTTTGCCCATTTATTCCTCAACTTTTGGTCAATTGCAAGTATTATTTCATACAAACTGACTACCGCTGAATCAGGTCCGATGGCATCTCGTCCATCGTTATCACCAACCACAAAACGAGACCTATTTTTATCCCTTTGGTGCGAAATGGGGTTACAACTTTACAAACGAAGCGAAAGTAGTGTTACGAAAGTAAGGTTGAAAAGGAAGAATAGTAGGGTACAAACAAGTCAACAAGTTACAATGGTAGGACACATGACGTGCCTCCACTTTGTTCGACACATTCCATCGTATTGTCTCATATTTTTTCTGTTCAGGTGGTTGAGTTTATTCACTGGAAGAAGTTACATACAATTGCACCGAGACCTCCAAATCATTAGTTTCTTACAAAAGTTAGGTCAAGAATAGAAATTTTTGGGATCAATAAATAAGCACGGCACTGCTACTGGGCAACACTAGATATGTGAACCCCGTAACTCCTTAGTTTCTTTTGTTATATCTATGATAGTAAGACTCTAGGTAGACGGTACGTGAGGTGTTATTAAAGGGAATAGATTGCGTAACACAGTCTATACTGTCATAACTAGACGGTGCTTTACGACTGTGTGATGGGGTCCATGAGGTCAATGTTCTAGCCTTGTTCTAATTTATAGATGATCGGAGAACCGGAAAAGGGTAGGAGAAATGTGCAACCAATCAGAAATGAGGATTACTATGGTAACTAAGCAATTAATACTGAATATGTATAAAATTAAATGAAATGAAAAAAAAACTTTCACCACTACAAAACGGATAATTATATCAAACTATGGATTCTAATCATGATGAGTGGTCGAGGAACCTATGCACCAGGTTTTTTGGGTTCAGACCGTCACGAAACAATATTATCATCTTTTCAAGGTATAATTGCGTTTCATTTCATCTGATATGAGATGAAAAACAATGTTTATACCCTCTCATATCGACAATCCACAGTCCACACGGTCACCGTTAAAGATGCAGAATGAAGATTGCTGATGTCAGAGTAGCTCTTATAAGCATGACCAAGCAATAACTTGAACATAAAATTATATAAATACAATACAAATCTTAGTTTGAGTACTTGAACGGGAACTTATTTGACGAAAATTAACAAACTTCAATCCTTCAATAATGGATCATTGGATATGACATCAATTCTGCGAATGCTAAGTACAATACTTCAGAGACAAACAGCAATCAGTTGACCTCTATAATCTAAGATACATCAAACCTCTAACTTTAAAATATATTTAATTTCGCAACTCTTGTGATTCAGCTATCACTCATTAGAATGCGCATTGAAACGAAGAATTGTCTCACAATGAAATTGTATAATCCAATCGGAAGTGCACCACCCAGCACTTAGCTCGTAAACTACCTTGAAGCGTGGGTGGTGTGGCTGCCAATAACAAAGGAACTTTTAATCTAGCAATACCAAGTGTGTGTATCTGTTCTACTTGTATGTGATTGTGAGCTTCCTAACTTGATTACAAATATCACTGTTCTCACCCACGAGTACGTGTTACGTTGATGAAAAGAGGTTAACTATTAAGTCGACAAAGTTTAATTCTTAACTAAACGACAGCGGTCGGGCATAGAGTCTCAAAGGAAGATACTACGGGTCCAGAGAAGATATCACGAGTATGATTGATGCGAACATGTTAGATTTTTATATCTATCTTATCATCACGAATACGTATTACGCACGAGATAAAGGCCGAAAAGGTATAATTGGCTTCTTCGTCCCACAAAATCTAGGTCCGATTATGATATCTGTGCTGCGAAGAAAAGGTTCTGTGATTAATGCACTGGCTATTGATACGTTGATGTATGAGTTGAATAAATGAATAAATGAATTAATTCTAGTATTTATATCCCGACTTTAAAAAAAGACCTAAGAAAGATCTATTAAAGGGGACATGTACACCAAAACCTTTTTTGGTGGGACCCTTGATTTTGACTTCATATTATGAAACTATAGATAAAAACGATATGATTTGACACATTAAACAAAATTTTTGATTTTATACTTTAAAACTCAAAATTGAGAGAGATCCGGTTCCAGAAAATTGGAACTCCAAAAAGTCAAGCTTTTCAAGTGAGAATCTCACGTATCTCTGGTATTAAATTATTAATATCCCGACATAAAAATATACTCAATAAAGAATAAAAATATAGTTATTATTCTAGCGAGAATATTATTTCTCAGAAAGCTGGATTCTAAAAAATCAATAAGATCCTTCAGAAAAAACGTAATTAAATTAGGAAACTTGAGCACATCAAACCATCAAATTGACACATGTCTGTCAATTTACCTGCTTCTGGTTAACATACGTCAATTATGATCTAAGAAGCCAGATCATCACCTTCTGATTTAGTTGACTAACTTAAATATTGACGCTCAACCCCCAAATTGGCACATTATCACATCTCATACCAAGTTCCTGTAGATAGAAATGAAGCGTCTTGCATTGCTTGCACACTATATTATTATTAGCATTGCACCTGTGTCACGTGATTAATGTCGGCGCCTTTGATTTCTAGGCTATTTCCTCTGTTATATCTTGTTAAATCGGCTGTCTGCCAACTTGTACAGTAATTGTAACTGCAGATCGCTTCAATTCTGTGTACTTATTTAAGTTTGTTTTTGGAGGACGAACTGGCTTGCCTGTAACAAGCTATTTGAATTATCTAGGGTGTCAAAAAATGCGGTTTATGGGCATATTTACAAACTCAGTTCGTTCACACACAACGAATTCAATTTAAAAAAATCAAAAATTCGGTCAGTAACGAAACGTTGATCTCACCGTCGAGATTTGAGAATAACATAAACAACTGGTCCTTCGAGCAGTTTTGTGAATCATCTGTGGTTGTGTAAACGCTTAAATATCCGCCGTACAAGGAAATAATATACCTTACGCATTAGGTATTTAGGTAATTATAACATATGCATTAAATAGCGTACAAAACCACATAGGGCTAAGTAATGCAACACAAAAATATTATAGTCCTTATAGTATTTAGACGCTTTTATAGCGTTATAAATTACAAATAAACATTTACCTAATGAATAACGGAGACATGCTTACAACTTATATATTTAACAGATATTTATACGAAGACGTAGTAATAGACCAGAAGATTTATTTAATTTATTGAATGTTCCTCCTGCCTCTCTCACTACAGTCGCACAGATGCCGCATTCGCCTTTAGTGGGCCAAAAATACGGATCTTATTTAGTAGGATGAAGTTCTGCTCTCAAATAAATCTTTAAAACCTACTAAATTTACTACCACAGAGTAATTCATGCAATTCTCTCTGTGAACAAAACATTTGCAGTCTACTAATACTTAGCCCAGATTTCCACTTAAAAAATGCTTCTTGAAAGGCTTCTGTGATACCCCGCCCACAGAAGGGTATACCGCCATCACCAACAGCACCAACAGCTCTCTTATGGAAAGGGATCTCCAAACGTACTTGATAATGCGCACTTGATCTCTGCCGAACCTACATAAAGTAAGTAAATACTGGCCAGTGCATAATGCTATAGGAGCACAAATCAAATAAAACCCTACAAATTCGATTAATTTCTATACAAGCATAACATTTCTAAATTATTCCTACTAAATTACTTACTTATAATATATAATATATATTCGATCCATTGGGGCATCTAAAAGATCGATATGACTGTAAGACACTAAAGTCAACGAAATGTTCCTGCTCACACGATTATGAAATCGAATCCCATCAACTGGATATTTTTAAACAAAACACCTCATCATCATAACTGTACCGTTCAATATATCGCACAAAATAAATTTCTAGTTTGATAGTTGGCGACGAAGTGAGAGTCTCCAATCAGTGTTTCAAAACAATTAGTTTAAAACTAATTACAGCACTACAAATCTTTTACATTTATTGAGCTATGTAAGTTATTGTAAAGGCGTGTTGCCGAAACGTCGACAACTAATGGGGGGGGGGGGGGGGGGGGGGTGGGGCTCGACCATATTAAAGTATATTACAATTTATAATCCCCGCCCCTAAATCGGGAAACAAATCTACATTTTAATATACTTTAATATACCCAAAATTAGTCTAGCTATATTCTTCGTTTAGATTTGCAAGATAAGCCTGTTTTTGGACTAGTACATGAATTTACATCCAGTTTGGTCAAAAAATGGCTGAGTTATGAGCTTTAAACCATATGCCCATATTTGGGCATACGCACCAAATTTGAAAGCTTTCACCCAAAATTTGATCAAATGTCAATATTTTTGAATGAGACTAACTTTAAGTGAAATATATAGCTCAATATCTGTTGAATAGTGGATACTAAGTAAAAAGACCTCCATGAACAAAATTGTCCACATAATATCTTGGTTTGGGATACTAGCCGAAATGATTTCATTAAAATTGAAACAACTCCATCAGTTTTCAATATTTTTGCATGAAATTTTCGGAATCGATTAAGCATTGCATTTCAAGCTTATTGTTGGCAGCGATTTTTGATTTAGGCCTCCAAAAACATAGGGATGTATTAAAGTATATTAAACTATATCCCTGCCCCTAAATCGGGAAAAAAACCTACATTTTAATATACTTAAATATGTTTTCTTAGGTATATATTATTATACCTAAGATGTAACTCAGTTAAGCTATCAGATCGTGTCCCTAAAGCAAGGTGGAAGCTCCTAGGTCATATCTTGCGTAGTGCTGATGACTCCCCCGCTGCATTAGCGTTAAAGTTTGCTGTCACAACAAACTGTAGAGGGCGCGTCGGTGCGCATCGTAAGAATTTGTTCAAGATTATTGTGAATGATTTGACCCGTAGAGGTTTAAAACTTAACTCTTTGAATGATCTTAATAAGCTTAAGATATTAGCCGATGATAGAGTTGCTTGGAGAATCAAATTTTAACTCTAGCTGTCTTGATCTGTACTGATCACCATTTTAGGATGACTTGATTTATTTTACATTTTAGGGGTTTTGAATATTTTAATGGTGTAAACAGTTTCTTAATTAATATGTTTTGAAACACTGAGTGGAGACTCTCACTTCGTCACCAACTATCAATCTAAATATGATTGACCCACTCATAAGAGCGAACAAAGATTACCAAAATAAATTTCTGGTTGATTCTGAAGAAATCAGAGCCTAAAAATGTCTACATTCAACTTGTTGTTCGTTCAGAAGTTTGACTGCCAAAATACTACTGTAGTTCTATTTATAGCATTTAACCTAATGAATTGATTCTCACTTCTCAGTTCTCCGTTCACAACTCGGAATAGCAAAATTTACTTAAATTGGCTTGGAATGAATAAATAAGTGTACATGGTTTACTTTTAATGACGCCCTGATTTTAATTTCTTCGTAGCTAGTAAAAAACTAGGAAGGGAGATCAAAGACTAGGGAGGAAGGTTTTAAGTGGACCGGAATTTGCAGCTGGCGCAGGCGCCAAACGATTGAATGCCATATAAATTTTCATTACAAGCCAGTTTCCCGCAGTTTTATAGCTTTACGCCGCGCATGGCATTTTATGTAAACATCAACGTGTTGGCGTGTTCAATGTTCATATCTTCTGCTATGTGTTCTCGATCTTAAACTCTTTACAATATGATACATCGGAACTCCCTATGTACGATCAATCAGCTAAGCAACGGCCTTATTCAGCAGTTCGACTCCTGCAAAGACAGTCAGAATACAAGACGAAGTACAGGCGCTAGAGATTAGCGCAGACGGCGAGAGCAGTGACGTTGAGGCTGTACCCCCATCACAATTTCTACCAAACCTTGACGAGTAAGCATCAACACAAATGTCTCCTTTATAGTTTTTACTGTTGATGTTAGAGCTACTTTAAAGTACGGATTCTCATAAATTTGTCATCGATCAACGGTCAACCAATCGATAACAAATTACTTTTTACCCAAACTGTTTCAGATCTTCGCTTCTCTATGTCGAAGACTCTCCACAAAACTCTCCTCTAAAGACCCATAAGACGCTCGGTCAACAAGTGCCTGAAACACCCGGAGCTGTCAGGGTATGTTTACTCTTTTGTGCGGCTTCTCATGTTAAATCACTGTTAATGATAACCGATTAAGTACTCCTGTGTCCTGGTAATTCAAAGAAAACTCGGGAGTTCGAATACAAATCGTTTCATCTTCCTGGTAATTATAGAAACCTGCCCCGACTTACTAGATATTTCAGGTAACTAGTCGTCAACTTCAATTGGATCAGTCTGAAGAGTTAGGCAAGGATACAAGTCTGATAAACACGCTAAAGGAGCTAAATACTTTAGCGCAGCTGCAAGGAAAAGACCTGACTACTACAATCCCCGACTCACAACTACCCAACTTCACGTTAGAAGGTTTGTGTTAAAGTGACCGTGAGGTCACGAACAAATTATTTATTCAAGGACATTTTGCAACAAATAACATTTCATCTCGTACTTAGTCAAGATATTTAATGAAATTATCCATCAGATGCGGATGAGCAATCAGATTGTGGCTCAGAGATTGTGGATCTAAACAATCAATGTGATGAGCCTGAGAAGATTGCTGAAACACAGGATGCAAGAGTAAGTCAGAACTAAATCTGTGTAAGTGTGTATGTAGAGCTCCCTCGGGATTTTAAACATCGGTGAGCAATTTTAACTGATATGATGACTGGCCCAAATTGGAAAAAAGCTGGGAAAGCTGTATGGAGTAACTCAGTGGACCTAGGTGCCCTAATTTCATTCGATGGGAGAAAGAGTAGTGAGTGCAATCGTCGTTGGGAACTTCAAATAAGCTATAAAAAGCTTTTAGGATTTACGTCGCGTTGGAATGACCTTCGGTTACGCGGTTATATGGTAACCGAAAAGTAACTAATTCCTGACTAATTATTATTTCCAGACTGTCTTGAATATTACATTTCACTGATTACTTATGGCATAGGAAATTTTTATCGAATATTTTACGAATGTTAAAGTTAATCTATCTGCTCTAGGAATCGCGATCGGAGGGAGAGGATAGCAATGTTGGAATGGGAGATGAAATGAACACACAATGTTGGGATATCACAATTCCACCCGACGAGGAGGAGGAGGAGAAAAAGAAGAAAAATGAAGTTACAGACAAAATTGAGGACACAGAAGTTGAAAAAGTCGGAGACTCGACAGATAAGGACACGTCTTTAGAGGAGTGTGACACGACAGCTGATACTGCAACAGCCAGTGAAGATGAGGACGATCCTCTCCAAGATGATCAAGCGACGACTTCCGACTTGATATCGGGCACTGGTGAGAAGAGTGGGAGTGAAGAACAAACCAAAGAGGTGGGGTTAACAGATAAGACACAAGATATTGACAACAGTGATATGGAGATTACATGTCTGGATCAAAGTAAATCAGTCCCAGGTTTGTTTAATTACCTGTAAGGTTACTTTGAGATAAAAAGCAAAGTTGGTTGTAATTGATCCATTAAACTGGTCGCTAAATCACAGAGGATTTCCTTGTCGAGTCCGGAGGCAGAACTACCCACCTACATATAAAAAGAAAGCTTATCCACTTATAAGAAAATCATCAAGAAATTAATGCTGTAGATATTCTACAGAGCTATAAGGCAGGCCGTATCCAGTTAGAGAAAAATTCTACTAATTCTATGGTTAAAATCCTTGATCAAAATCTTGCTCAGGACTTGTTTAAAGTCTTAAAGTTTAACATGGGTTCCCAAACAATGTCTAGTTCATCCGGCTGCTGTGAAAAAGTCTGTCACAAGACTAAAAACATAGAACTGATGAAATCCTTTAGTATGATTTGCTACGAAATAGTTTTATACAAAACAGAAGTTCAGAGACCTTCTCTAAAATATTATCGCCCTTAGCTTGTGACAGCCAGGTGCAGCTAGTCCACAATTCTAAACAAAAAGCTCGAACACATAGTTACTTCTTGTCTCTGGATATTAATTTTTTGACAAGTTTCTGACACATTATCAAACTTGATTCAGGGGGAGAGATCAGTATGCTATCTGAAGGATTAGCAGGAGGATTCTCTCCTACATCGGCCCCTGCTACTGAGGTTTGTTAATTGGGGGATCGGGGAGGGCAGGGGTTGTTCAGCGAATTTTCTACCAAGTTTCCCTGAATAAGACTTGAAACGTGATGCCTGATGGTTGTTTTAAAATCTTGGCTTCTAAACATTGTAAATGCCTAGACTAACTGATGGGCTTCAACGAAGCATAATCGACACATTTTTGTATATAACTGTTGCCAGGAATATTTTGGAGGATTCCGGATAGGTGCAAAATATCTGAAATGATCACACCAATATCATACTTATGAACGAACGTAAAACCTTTAATCTTGAAGATAATGCAAAAAATCTTATTTTGAGCTGGTAAGGTGATTTTTACTTACTTTTGAGAGGCTTCTTTAACACAGTAAACCCACTGTGATATTTTGGTGCGGTGCAGAATAAAAGAATGTTACAGTGAGTGGAGACCACTCATACAGGCGAGGAGCCATACCAGCACTGAAATATGGCTCACGAAAAACGAGCATAATATTATTCAAGTAGCAAAATTGAAAAGATCGTAGTAGAGTTAAAAGGTTGGAAGTACAATTCAAAGTGTGTATGAACTACTTGCGGTACCAAAATTAGCCTATTTTGTCACTGTCAGAAATCAAGACAGATTACCAAATTGTTCACTGCTTATTATACGAAAATTGTAACTCCTTCATGATTGCATCGGGTGTGGCAGTTGTCATTATAGTCGATCTCGGTAGGATTTTTAGCTAAAACGGGATCCAATCAGGCCTTAAAGTTTATGGCCACAATTTAACAATCGTCATTTGGATCATAATCGTACAATAATGACACCGTTTTAACGGCGCACTATTTAGGTTGATAAAGTGAGAAAATTGGGATTATGATCTTATAATAACGGCGCGCCATTTAGATTGTTAAACTGAGCAAATGGTTATAATATGTAAGGTTCGACAAAAACCTAGGCTGATTAAATTGGAAAGTCCCTCCTGGCTTGCGACCCCTTATAAGCAAAGAAGAAGGGCCTCACATAATGAGGAGCCAACATTTTACACCTGACTGAAGGTTGTTATCTAAATGATAAACTGGCGATGCTTTAAAATTTAAGCCAGCTATATGTGGTTACGAACATTCAAGATAAAATAGAGCCTAGTTAAATAACCGGAGTCCATCGCAACCTAGATCACAGTCTAGGTTTATAAGTGTTTGCATTATCAGTTCATTAATAGATAACCCGCTACGTGAGTAGCAGTGGTTTTCCTAATGGTCGAGTGGTAATATGATCGAAGTAGAAACATTGCCCAGTTGAAAGGTTGGTCAGTCCAGCAGCGCAGACTCTTAGGACGGCACTTTTTGGAACCCATCGCCCGCTCCAGAGCTTACGTCAATAGGATTATAACGAAAAACTTAATAATCGTACTCGACTCTCAAGACGTAATCAAAAGTAAAAACACAATATAAGTTCAGAACTGAATTGTATATGTTTCAGTACGAGTGGTCAGTTTACTAATCAGATAACTATTTCACGTGTGGTAGTGCAATAGTTATCTGTTGTTTCATGTTCTAGCTTAAACTTTGCTTTCCGTCTAAGTTAAGTCGCGAGTCTTTGTGTTTTGAGGCTTGTGGTGACTCTCCCTCATCACATCATGAACCAATTCCACTGAGTGCTAGGGTGGAGTTAGTTACCACCTCTATTGGAAACTAACTAATTATATCCATTCCATTAGTCTTGATGTGATGAGGTTATGTCTACACTTGCTTCAAAAGTTTAAGCTGGAAGAATAAACAATTGGGTATATCGTCAAATTCTGCCCTCGGGGCCAGACCGGCGGTGATAATGAAACTTTTAGATAATTAAACAATGTAGTTGAGATTTGAATCTAAAGGATTGAGACATTCAGGGCAAATGAACGAGCGAGGACTATTGTTATGCAGCTGTTACGTACCGACTTAAAAACGGCTGAATCCCCACCTAGAAAGAAAACTCTTCTCACAGTTTACTTAGTTATAAATTACTTCGACCGGCGGTGATAATGAAACTTCTAGATAAATCTACCATGTAGTTGAGATCTCAGCTGCTAGCTAAGGAGTATAAGTGGGATGTACCATACGTTTCACTTTTAACTATTTTAATATCTATTAACCATATTTATGTAATAAGGCAATATTTAAGTGCAGCAACATTTTGCGAAAAGTGCGATCCTGCAATCGCCTAAAATTGCTTAATGTGCGGCTAATTTGGCGAATCTCTGTTAGTGAGATTACGATATTTTTGGTGGAGATTTGTGCTTAGCACCGCTTCTATTATCGGCGTTAGAAAAGATCGCTATTACTGGATACGTTACGTAACGTTTTAGCACCAACGAACTAGATATTCCCAAGATGTTCATCAGAACGATCGGTTGACTAGTGGAGATGAAATTATGTCGATACGAAGAATGACGGATTGATCTTAAATTGGCCATGGCCAGCATCCGTCATCAATCAGCATCGTGCAGATAAGACCGAAGATAATAACTAGATACAACATATTATGTTAATGAAAATACATAAAAACATCGAAAGCTGATAAAATATATTTTGTGAAACTAGTCTAGGACTCTAGGTGGGTAAAGTTGAGGTTTAACCTTTAATTTCTTAACTAATGGCAGAACGGTTGTCGAGCTTTTATATTGTTGACCACTAATTTACAATATTGGGATGATTGGGATGATTATACTGCCCTATACTTCAAACTCACGGATGTGGCATGAAATTGTCCAAAACAAGTGTCGAATTATAGAGGAGATTACTGATTGCTGGTGTGACCTTTTGGGAAAGTGGGCCATCCTCTCTCTTTCACACAATATCATTACAAATTGCATACCAAGTACCTGAAAGCTACCCTAAGCAAATGACATCGTGAAGTTCCTCATTAATCCAGTGATAACCTCACTCTTATCCACAAAATTTGGAAGTGGTTTCTCACCTTAATTATGATATTGTGAGGGTTGAAACCTTAAGAGTTGGTGCAATAAACTGTATTCATCCTAATTTTAAATCCCTCAGATTGAGGGAGATAGTGATGCCACCGATATAGAGGAAGATATACCTGTTATTCCTGCTCGACCAGGCCATCTTCCTGCCTCCAACCGGAGATCTACAAATCTTCAAGAAAGTTTGATAGAACCACCGGCAATGTCAGAATCGGAACTAGAAAATTCAATTGACAGAAGAGACAAATACAGAAGGAGTCTGATGAACTCCATGGCAGGTATTTTGGGCGTGTCACTTACTTGAAAATAGGGCGATGCAAGTGTTTGTGGTGTTGTAGTATTATCATAGACTGAGAAAGGATCTGTATAATGACGAGAAGATGGCTTGTAAAGAAATGGCAAGAAATTGATGATAGGGGATCGTCCGAGTTAACATTTAGTAATGTTTAAATGTAATTACTGCCCTGCCTAAACGGTCGCAATAAGGAGCTGTTGGGCTGTTTGTAAAGCAGTCTACAAGATCGTAGTCATGAGTCTACCCGCTATTCTTTTAGTGAGACTTAGTGTTGTAACGAGATATATCAGATACATCTCATGTCACATGGGTCGTTCCCTAATATGTATTATATGCTACTCACTTTCATTGTATGATGTATATGAATAATGAATATGTTGGTAAATGGTGGAAATATAGAGCCTTAATTTGGGAAGGATGGCCCTTTTTGTTTATGAAAAATAGGATGTAACGGTAAGATAAGCTCACCTTCATGTCTTTTTCCCCGAAAAAAGTAGTACATTGTCAACGAGGTAACTCTGTTAAATCCTGTAAATTACCCATTATTTCAGAGGACAGCCAAATGTGGGCGAGTGTGATGTCAACTAAAACGTCCTCTACAGCAAGCAATAGTAACTCTCAAGGGGACCCTGAGAAGACCCCTCCCAGAGAGGACTTTATGGAAGATATTGCCAGGACTCCACCTCGATCTGTCACCGAGAGACCAAACACGAATCCTGTCACCACCCCTACAAAAATTCTAGAGGTCAAATCTCAGATTCAAATGATCGAGATGTCTGATGAAGTTGTGGAAGGTGACTTTGTGGAAACACAGGAAGTTCCTAACATTACCATCGAGGAGAAAGATGAAAATACTTATGATGAAGTTGGTAAAAGTGCTAACGGAAGCACGAATAATAAATCAGATAACACGAAAGAGGTAACAACTAAACCATCTGTGTGTGCAAAGGGAAGTGCCGTCGATGAGATGGACACGGAAGATGAGGAGGATGGTATTGAAGAAGGTGACGACAAGCAATTTATGCCAGAGCTTCGGCTAGATGACGAGCCCGTCTTGCTTATTGACAATTCTGATGACATGAAGGCTACTGAGGACGACGATGAAACAGACTGTGAGATTGATGATGATGATGAGATGACAAATAAGGGGCGAGAAGGTGGAATAACTGAGGTTGTTAAGGATGATGACGAAGATGATGAGCTGCAGATAACATCGGTGCAGGAGGCATGTTCGCTGGTCATAACTCATGTTATGGATGTAGAGGATACCTCAGAGGTCAGCGAAGTCCAAGTGAATGAGGTTAGTGAGGCCCCGGTTACTGAGGTTAATGAGGTTCCTACTGCTGCAGTTGATGACGTTTCTATTTCCGAGGTTGAGGATGTTCCCATTGCTACAGTTGATGACGTTCCAGACCCTGAGCTTATTGAGGTTTGCAATGATATGATTTCTATCGATCATAGATTTAATACTGGACGTTCAACAAACTTCCCCAGATGATAACTATTGGATGCCATGATAGACAGAGGCCAGAGCAACCCTTGGCCTTATCAGTTTCACTTCATAATTTCATTATCCAGCATCATTAACAAATATTAATTTCAGGAAGATACCCCCTGCACATTGGAGCTTGACGTTAGACTCATCGGAGGAACAGATGGATTCGATGTTAAAATTAAGGGAGAGCCAAATTCGCAGGTAAATACCCAAAATTAAAGTGTTTAGCTAGACTTGTAATTAATAATTATTGAGAATAATTCGAAAAGGGATCGTTCACATATTAAACAGATTTTAGAACCCCCTCTGTGAAGCTGTGAGAGCCACTTTAAACATACCTATTGAGCTATTGTGTAAAACATTTCCAAACCCCCCTCCCCCCTACGTAATATTATGTGAACGCTCTCTATGTCAAAATTACCTTAATGTCTACACCACCAGTCGTCACGTTCCTGAACAGTTTAGGGCATTATTTTACAGTATTAACATCTAACTAACGTCAACCAGACGAACTTCTCGAGATTGAATTGAACATGTCCCCTGACTAGATTGCTCCAATAACGAATCGTATATCAACGATTTCTTGGAAATCTGCGATTTTTTTCAAACCTTTCCTGGCCGATTTTTGATTAATTTCATAGCTGCGAATCATCCCCAATCAGACATTTTCGCTGATTGAAACCTTGTGATTTTCGACCCGCAGTATATAGTCATCGATTGCATTTAAACGGAGCATCTTAATCAAGTCACGTCTACTATTTAAATGAGATGAAAAGTTACATTTAGATTGCGACATTGTGAAGAAAATGGTTTTACAGCTGAGAAATGAATTTCTTTATAACTGTTGAGCTTGAAATGAGGATAGACCAAGAAGCTTACTTTAAAAGTGTTGCAAAAGAAGGATGTTATTATTTATTTGCACAAGGAGGGCAAGTGACGGGTAGCGATTATTAGGGTGGTTCGTTGCTTTTGCGGAGAGACTTACCGCAAACTCTTGCATAGAAATGAAAACTGTGCAGTCAGTTTGTACTGCAGAGTAATGAAAACTGTGCAGTCAGTACTCAGTTTGTACTGCAGAGTAATGAAAACTGTGCAGTTAGTTTGTACTCCAGAGTAATGACCACTACCACAGGAACCACCACTTCTAATATGTTTATCATTAAATAAAGACAATGAAGAGTAGTCGTATAATTGAATATTTCTACTGGAATTCCCAGGCAAACTCGGTATTACAAGCTGCTTAGCAAGAGGTCATATTGTATCTCAACAATAATCTCAGAATGTGTGTCTGATCGTCTGTCTGTCTGTGTGCGTGTAATTTCCGAGCGGATTAATCAAGAAAACGGTAAGAGTTACGGGGCTGGTTTTTTCGGTATAGTGCCGACAAAACTATGAGTAAGCCAAATGGTAAAGGTTTTTTAAATCGGTCGGTGGTAAGTGGTTTAATTGATGGTTTTAAACCACAAATGTTACATAAAATGGCTCACATTTTCTCCCTCCTCGCTCTCTCCCATTACTGCATATTATGTAGCGTTGGTACATAAATTATATCATAATTCATAATTACACTGTCATTTAATACTATAACGTTCTGTTTGGACTGTAGAGAGAGTTCATACTTTCATACGACAATGTAATGCATGTTTTCAAATATGCGGGTGTGGTGCGGAGTTAATAAGGGTTAATTTCTATTGATTATTGTTTTAAGATACTATTGTTTTAAGATACTATTGGATACGTGAGGGCACTCCGAATAGTATTGCATTTGCTCACCTAATGCGGGTTTTGACTCAGCGGGTAAATACTCCTACCCTTTTTAACTGCGGCAGTGAAATCCCAGCAGAAGGCCAGGTTACACTAGTAAACAAATAAATTGATAGAATTTGCTCGTTCGAATCATCACAATATGAGTAATAGAATTATTTTAACATATACTTAAGAATTCATAAAGATAATCAGTAATCACCAGGTAAAGCCTAAATAACTAATAGCTAGGCTTTACTATTGTATCAGTTAAACTTATGCACTGTTGCAACTGTTGCCTTATAATTTGTAAATAAATGTGGCCATAGCAATTAATTTGAACTTATCCGAATGTCCGCGATGTTCAAAAGCTAAGAATATAACTATACACGAATATAACACAAATGGGCGTGGCCAAAAGGGCGATTTTCCTAGACTGAATTTTTGTGCTCCGAATTTCTTTCAGTTCTACAGACCTTGGAGTGGCCCCAAAAATTGTCAGCCCTCGACTATGAAATGCAGGTAAAAGTGCGTAACTGACCAGACTATCTACCATAGAAATTACCACTTTAATCTGTTTTAAATCATGAAATAGAAAGATGAGCTAAGACAAAGAGGAGTAGTCGTACCACCTTGATTATTCTTTGGATTTGTTTCGAGAGGCGAATCATACACAGTTTATAAGGCAGCTGGATTATTGACAGCTTGATTATTGAATAATTGCCTAGATTATTCTACCATAATTCCTGCTGCAAGTTACAGAGTTGGATAACTAGCCTTACTGGCTTGAAAATAACCAGATCACCTGATTAATAGTCAAGCTCAGAACATGCTCCTTAGTATTATTGCCCAAATAAGAGGTCAATATTTCCGGGACTACTACCTCTCTGCCAATGACATATTCGACATCCAACACATCTCCACCATTGTCAACTTTACAAACCACACTAAACGCTTAATGGTGCCAGAGGAGTTGGACCAGACAGGTGTAACATAGCGACTACTTTAACGCCGTCTTATTTCGCCTCTCTCTTCCACACTCAACCACCACTTAAGCGTTCATCTATGACACACCCCACAACACTTACCATCATCCTTGATTACACATCTTGATTCCACTGGCATCCTCCCACAGGACTGCCATACCCCAGAGGTAGGCAAAGCATTCATATGCTATCTTCTCGTGGGCCAACCAGGCCTAGCCTCTCTTTTTTTTAATTTAAAAAAAATGCTCCTTAGTAAGAGGTTCTATTGTATAAAACAAATAAAAAATAAAATTTGTTCCGACACAGCTTGTTTAAAGGCCACAGCTTGTAATACAAAGTGACTTTTAAATGAAATTGATCGCGGGTATAATGAACCCAATGAAGCGTTTACATGGAGCAAAAAAAAGCTTGTTTGTATGGGGGAAATATGTTCTAAGATTGCCCAGAAACCTAACGGGAGATTCAGTGATATTGGTATGAGGGATCATACAAGTTGAACAAGCTGGGACTAGTCGATTTGTTTTGGGCATCGTTCCATTTTGTTGGATACAGGACTATGTCAAGGGTCTTCGGAATAGGGCTAGTTTACTGCAGAACAGTCTCATAGGAAGTCAGCAGCTGGTGATCAGTGTTCAGGCAGAGCTTTACGATTTTATGACTGAATGACTTGAAACGTTTAAGAACACTGTTAAGTCATCTGTTATTGACTCGGTTTAAGCCGCCTATAATAGTTCAGACGTTAGACTTCAGTCGTCGAGAATTCACAACCAAAAACGTTATCAGCTCGGAAACGCTGCGAAGTTTAGTGAAACGGATTGTTGAGGAAGAGGACTGTAGTCTCCACCTCGTTGTGTCTATCAGAAGAGATCGATAGCGAACTTATTGACACAGTGAGCGAAGTTAAAAAAAACATTGGTCAGAAACCGAAGTTCGAACCACAAACTAAAAATAGTTTGAATCATCATAATTAAATATGAACAATAAAATTATTGCAACATTTCGAAAACTACGTACTTTAAAATTTATTTAAAAATTACCAGCTAAGGTCTAAATCACTAGAAGCTGAACCATTGTATCAGTCTACAATTGTAAGCGACATTTTCATGAACCAAATTTGGGGGATTAGGAAATAAAAATTTTTAAATTTGGGGGATGTATTGTGCTCCGTACTAAAAGATATGCTGTGTTTCAGGAAAAAGCAAGCAAGTCGTTCATGTCGATGTTTGACAGTGACGAAGAAGATGGACCAGTGTACGATTCTCAGCTCAACACCTTGCCAGGTACTAACAATATTTTTTTTAACAAACCTTCCTTAAACTGTGGAACAGCTTTGACTCGAACTTATTAATCCTACTCAAGGAACCGAAATTTTGCTTAATTATTGGATCTAAAATGATCACGGAGACTCGTTACGTCGTTTTGAAAGTGAATAAACGTACTTTTATTTTGTCTACATAGTTTGCCAATTGAGTTCAACAATCGGCTCTTATCAGTTTTTAACTCATATCGTCTATCGATCTAATAAAAGGTTTTACGAAACAACGTTTAGAGTGGTCTATGTCAAATGAGATTGTGCCTTTCTGGCGAAAGGCACGTTTTACACGGGTGATCAGTAAATTAAACCCTCACGTGTCGTGAATGAGGATGAAAAAAGGTCGGGTCCACTGTGAAACACGCGCAAATCGTTTAATAAGTCAGAACTTGATAGAATTGCTCGAAATGAAGATGTACATCACGCAGTGTTACTTAGTGACGCGAACTGAAGCGATTAATTGGTAATGGTACACTCGGTTTAATTGTTTATCTTTAATATAAGCTTTTTCAGCTGGAGACTATGTAGCTCAGTCGTTCGACCTTATAAGTGAGTTTATAGTCAGGATTATGATGCTCAATTTACTCATCTACACAAGAATTTCAGTAATATTAATACAAAGTTGGTGCTCAGATTATTATTAATAAACAAACAGGTGGTAATTAAAGTGGTAATTATAATGATCAGTAATCTGCTCCATAAAATTTATTAACGCTTTTCATTAACAGATGAAAATGCAACCTACATGTCAGGATTTGGACAGACTAAACCAGGCTTACCCTATCATACTGAAAATTGAAAAGTAAAATATCATCACTAGATCGATTTTCATCTCCAGGTCCAGTCAAAAAGAAGGAGCCTTTAAATAAAAAAGGTGCAGGCAGAGGAAGAAAACCCAGAGCGACGAAACCCAAAGCAGTTCCAAATCGAAAGAAACACAACCCTTTCGATTATGAGTCCGAGGAGGATCAGGAAGAGGACATACCAAAAGGCCGAAGTTTGCACAAAAATTCAGCTGCTAAAAAAGAAGGAGAAGGCACTGAAAGTGGTCTGACAGCTGAAGATTCAAAACCTGCGAAGAAGGAAGAGAAAAGTACTCATCGGACAGTTCTAAAGTTAGAAAGTGTCGAGGAACTTCTCCGAAAACGGAGAGAGGTTAAACAAAGGTTGGACGCAAAAGAGACCAACAAAGCACACAAAACCCAAAATAAAGGTATGTTTGATATGCCTGCATATTCATGACTCATCTTTTCATCTCTAGATTAGGTTTGAAATTGGGGTTCTTTTCATCTCTAGATTAGGTTTGAAATCGGGATCCTTGTAGACTGTAGTTGTAACACGTACAAGAAAATATGATATGATAATGATGTGTACGACGTATGTAAAGCAGGGGTTGCTCTTTTTACAGGACAAACTCTGAAATATATATGTTCTATCCTAAGCGTCTAAACAGTACACAATAAACATGTCTGAACAGCTATGAGAACAACCGATAACCGTTCAATGTACTTTCCACTACAACTATTAGTAATAAATAATAATTAGTAATAAAACACATACAGAAATAATCTACGTAATAGTATTACGACTTACTTAGATAATGTCTGCATACGTTTTATGACGTGTATTTCAAATGAAATACAATTGTTAGTAGAATATATCCTTTCGAAACCTCACTACGGCCATGAATTATGCAATACTGCATACTATACATTAATATCTGCGATTAGAACTAAGCGAGTAATCAGAAATATGTAATGATCCGATCCGTCATTGAGTAGTGAATCATACCCGGACGATAATCACATGACATTTAAGCAAAGAAGATAGCTTGATCAGCTGAAGAAGACTTACTACGTCCAGTATTATATTGCTATATTTATCATTATATTCATTTTCCGATTACTTATACTCCGCAGCGCTCCCTTCCATAATACTTTTGGTATTGGTAGTAGCACTTGGGCGGAGTCCAAGTTATCAGAGCCTTTTTTGCAAGAGAGTCTGCCTTTTCGTTACCATAATAGCCTTTATGAGCTGGTATCCATCGTAGTAGGACTTGATTGTCCATTGCTAGTTGGTTCAGCTCACTTACTGCTGTGCTGGTGCTTTTTGATTTGTCATTTGACTTTGATATTGCTCATTGCCATTATTGTCGCCTGGCTATCACAGTTTATGATGATTTATATCATCATATTATATCAGTATCATAACCTGAGATGCTCCTGAAATTGCTCTTTTGAGCAAGTTTTTCATGAACGTTGGATAATGAACATTCAGTACTAGATACACTCCGCATAAAGCTGACTGATCAGGTGAAACAGGGCTGTAGCTAAGGATATGGGTTCAAGGGATTGATACATTAAAATAACTAGCTCTGGCTCAGTTGTACGGAGAAGTCCGCCTGTTCTCTTCAGTACTTCAGAGCTACAGAGGCAACGCTTTAAGTGCGGTGGGTGGTGGGTGCGGAATCGCACTTTTTATCACTTGCAGAACTGTTTCGTACTATTTGTGATTTGGCGTTATCCGTACTTTTTTTCCAAAAAATGCTGCATTTAAGTCCCAATAATCACCAATTTTGCCGCACTCTTGCTGCACACAAAGCAATTTTAGGTAGGTGCAGAATCGCACTTTTGGCAAAATTATACCGCACCTGCTATATTATGTTGCCTCTGCAGAACTATGTTTGTGACCGAGACCTGGCATAGTTCTTGTGAATGAATAATAGATTATCCGGCAGTATAGTCGGAGTAAACAGATATTGACTATTGATTGACTCTTTTAGGTAAGAATAAGAAATCAACGAAAGTTCTGGATGACGAAGATGATTTGCCTGAATTCGGTTTGTTTTCACTTTTTCGTTAAGAATTTGTAGATACTGTGTATTTGTTATCTCTCATGTTTTATCTTTTTAAAATAATGGTTATAAATCGTGATGCTGATCACGTAATACTTCCAGGTTTGATGGATGATGCAAGTGATGACAGTGACGAGGTCATAGAGCTTGACTTGATCACCTCTTGTAGAAAACCCAAGATAGTCCCTGTCCAGATACCAGTTCTCAAACAGGAACCGCAACAAGATTCCAATATTACTCCGTGCGAACAAGGGAAGGTCACTGGTACGTAAATGTATATAATATATTATATGCTATTATTTTTCATAGTGCATTTTCTCAATCTTAAAAGATTTAGCCTGCTTTCAGTTGGTGGCTGCTGCCGATTTAAAAAGCGATCTCAATCTGGTTATTGCTACTATTTAATCCTTCTTCACTAATCTATATTAAAATCGTGTTTTAGTCTTAAACTTTAACACCATGATTATTGTTTTCTCTACAGGAAGTTCCAGAAAGAGAAAGCCCGTCCAATCACTACCGAATAACCCCAAAAAAGACAAGCTATCACTTCCTTTAACAGACCTTGACAACGCGAAGAGGACCACAAAGTTACCACCTGCAAGCTTAAAACAGAAGGTTGCGGCAAGGAAGCAGAAACGTCCACTGAGTGATTCGGAAGGTGATTCAAGTGGTGTCTCGAGGAGAAGCGCAAGAAGAGGAAATGATGATAGCGATGATACGCAGGATTCGATGAAATCGAATCAATCCATAGCAAGGTCAACACGAAGGGGAAATAAGAACAAAATCATTGAAACTGAATCAGATGATGGAGAACTTTCCCTCAAAGCTGAATCTGAAATCCCTACCACCAAGAAGAAAACAGTTGCAGCGAAACGGGGGCGGAAGAAGCAGAACACTGCTCCAGATATAACTGATGACGAGGAAGCGAGAAGTCAATCTCCGGATCCTCAGCCTACCCTCTCTACTCCCGTGAAGCGACAAACTAACCGAGCGTCTAGAAGTTCACCAGCAGTCTCTTTAAAGATGGAATGTTCTCCTGCACCCTCTACCCGAAGGAGAACCAACCCCTCTGACTCTATCGAAGGTTCACCAGCTCCAATATCAAAACGTGGTAGAAGAAGAAAAGTGAACTCCGACGTCAAGGAGTTCCTGAAAGAAGCGAAGAAAGAGTTGGAAACTAAGATTGGGAGAGCAAAAGGGGGAGCTAAAGTGAAGGAGGAAATGGTTGTGGAGGAAGACCAGGAAAATGTTGCAGTGAAGGTTGAACCGAAGAAGAGAGGAGGTCGGAACACGAAGAAGCCCGGAGTGAAACAGGAGTTTGATGTCTCTCCTGAACCCCTCATAACGGTTGGCAGAGGAAAACGCAAAAAGGTTAGTTTTCATCGTGGAATAATAATCTTAGTTTGTGCCCAACATGTACAAGTCCCAAATTATGGTCCCAAACTGGGGGGGGGGGGGAGGGATCATAAGGTCAGAATCGTACGTGACGTTGGGGGGTGGGTCATATTTTCTTCCGAAACGCAGTTAATACTTTTGTACTAAGTGGTGGGTCTGCTGCTCATTTCCCAGAAAAAAAGTTAGTACATGGTACTAAGGGGGGTGTCCAACCCCAAAAAAACCCATTTTACCTCTAATTTCAATTTCGGGAATGGGTTTCGAGGTTGCCCCACGAAAAACCTCACCGAACCTCCACGCGGTGTGGGGTGGGTGGCTCGAACGGGAGGTGCATGGGTGTTTCTAACCTATGCAAAGGAAGGGACTAGCCATCTCTACAACAAGGAAAGGCTCTAATAGCCTCTACTAACCTTAGAACCGCAGCATAACCGCTTTTCCCACAGGCAAATAACACCTTCCGCAGGAAACTAACACGCTCACAGGCCCCCACATGATATGACGTGTAACCCCAGGATTTGGTTTTGGATCGGACACTGAAAACAACGATAGAGGAGCAGTCTACACGCTCACAGGCTACCATGTCTCGTGTAACCCCAGGATTTGACACGTTCACAGGCTACCATGTCTCGTGTAACCCCAGGATTTGGTTTTGGATCGGACACTCAAAACAACGATAGAGGAGCGGTCTATACGCTCACAGACTACCACGTCTCGTGTAACCCCAGGATTTAACACGCTCACAGGCTACCAAGTCTCGTGTAACCTTAGGATTTAACACGCTCACAGGCTACCACGTCTCGTGTAACCCTAGGACTCTAACACTTAATAGACTCTAACACGCTCACAGGCTTCCACGTCTCGTGTACCCTAGGATTTGGTTTTGGATCGGACACTCAAAACAACGATAGAGGAGCGGTCTACACGCTCACAGGCTACCACGTCTCGTGCAACCCCAGGATTTGACACGTTCACAGGCTACCATGTCTCGTGTAACCCCAGGATTTGGTTTTGGATCGGACACTCAAAACAACGATAGAGGAGCGGTCTACACGCTCACAGACTACCACGTCTCGTGTAACCCCAGGATTTAACACGCTCACAGGCTACCAAGTCTCGTGTAACCTTAGGATTTAACACGCTCACAGGCTACCACGTCTCGTGTAACCCTAGGACTCTAACACTTAACAGACTCTAACACGCTCACAGGCTTCCACGTCTCGTGTACCCTAGGATTTGGTTTTGGATCGGACACTCAAAACAACGATAGAGGAGCGGTCTACACGCTCACAGACTACCACGTCTCGTGTAACCCCAGGATTTAACACGCTCACAGGCTACCAAGTCTCGTGTAACCTTAGGATTTGACACGCTCACAGGCTACCACGTCTCGTGTAACCCTAGGACTCTAACACTTAACAGACTCTAACACGCTCACAGGCTTCCACGTCTCGTGTACCCTAGGATTTGGTTTTTGGATCGGACACTCAAAACAACGACAGAAGAGTGGTCTACAGTGACGTTACAGGAACATTGCACACTCCTACGAGTTGCATGTAGCAGGCCATGACCGTCCCTGGAAGTCCCTGTCTCCTCATCGTTAACCCGTAAGGGGTTGCACCAGGGGCGGTGGTAACAGAACTTCAAGACTCTCGGAGTCTGTTGTCGATATCTATGTATAATATAATTATGGTATATAATTTGGGAGTCTCTCTCTCTAGCAGCAGGAGTTGGAGAATGGGGACGCGTTGTGAAAGCCACCGCAAGGAAGGCTTACAGTCGACGCCGACCAATCAAAAGAAGAGGGTTTCGAGGTTTTTTTCCCTTTTTTTGGGTTTTAAAAAAAATTTTCCTATTTTTGTAACTTTTTATCTAATTCGACTACATTGAAAACAAAACCCCTACTAAATGATGGGTATCATTTGCCCATTTCCTGGCAATGTTTAATGAGCTGTTTAAAGCAAAGTATGGGTGGGTATCTTATTTTATATACCAAGACACAGTTAGTACCGTGATTTCTCAATAGTTAGTACCGCAAAAGGGGTGGGTGTCCTTAATATTATCCGAAAAAACAGTTAGTACCGCGAAGGGAGTAGGTGGGTCTTTTTTGTAAATTCCAAAGTTGCTTTTTGTTGTTTTGTTGTTTTAGTTGATTTTTATGGATGGTTACCGTAATGGGTGCCACATGACTAGCATGAAATATTTACCTACTTACTTACACTTCTGTAGGTCTATAGAAGCATTAGAATCGGGCGTTGTCTGCCACAGGCTATCCCGAATTTAGAAGCTTGCTTTCATCATCCAAAGTTGCACTTAGTCGACGTCACGTACGGCACTTGGTACCTATTCCCCCACCACCCCCCCCCCCCCCCCCCCCCCGCCCAAACATGAAACAATTTAGGTACAATTTGATACTAAATTATTGTTTCATGATGTGCGAACAGTTCCGGGAATTCTTTCTCGTATATGTCGCCGCTAATAATTTGTCGATTACTAAACAATCGATAACTAGAACTAGTCATCCCAGAAAATATCATGAATACTGAGCTAAAAGATAACATATGCTTGAAAATATATCGTCAATACTAAAGCCCAAAAATATTATGCAAAGGTCGAATTCCAAATATGACCACAATAGTTATCGATAAAGTTTTTCAATTAGTGAAACAAACAAAAATTGTGAATACCTTAATTAAAAGATGTACCACTTAAACCTTTTTGACTGGTTCAAATGCTTTAAAGTCTAATGGCCTTCAAATCAGCATGAAAAAATAAAAATTGGCCAAGGAATAGGAATTTTATTGCCCAAAATTTGGACCCCCAAGTGGCGCCAAAAAAGCGAATTAAATAGGTAATAATTATTTCAGTCTCTTGAGTCTTTACACCACTTTAGGGTTAGACGGGTTTCTGCCAGTGTGTATAATTATAAGTCAACCAAATATTACAAATACAACATGTTTTAAGAGGGTTTTTTTTGTATATGGTAAAATTATAAAAATAATTTTTTATTTCTTTTTACTAACGTAAAGGCCATAAAAGCATTCGGCCCAGCCAAAAAGGTTTCAAAAGTATATCTCTCAGGGTTTACACTGAATCTTAAAATAATCGTAATCCATAATCACTAAGGAAATTGTCTGCAACTTACTTAGATGCTATCTAATTATAAATCAAATATATTGTAAGTAAATTTAGAGTCTTATTTTTAATACGACTCTATAATTTGAAAAACAGTGTATTATCTTCCACCTCAACACCATGTCTTGCTAAATTACATGATCAGTTTGTTTACTCCTAATAGAGCTGACAAAAGTTCACGCAGATATGGACTGTGCTGTAATACTGTGTCCGTGTTGCTTAACATGAGGAAAGTGCGTCACAAATGTCTTCTATAAAGCTGATGTAATCCTCAGACCGCTGAGTCCTCACCAATACCACACCTGCTCTTCATGCCCGGTTCACCTCGCGTATCTGATAGAATTGGGTTGTTATTATAGGATGGGCCTCCAAGTTATACTGATCTAATCAATCAACTGTTTGTTCTTTTGTTTAGTGATCTAGTTTCTTCCTGCTAGTGCTGATGCATCGCACAATAACCACTTAGTACAGACAGATCCGTCTGAAAAAATCGATCTGCCGACACACAAAGCTTACAAAGGATTTTTGACGTTTTTGAGTCCTAATAGATGTCCTTTATGGCTGACCAACTTTTCCAAACTTTTCCACGTGTCTTAAGGCCACTTTTTGCCACTTTACCACTTTTTACCACCTTTCTTGTTTGTCGAATATCTTTAGTTGTGAACATCGTAAAAGGTTGCGGATTAATCGAGGGTGTTCATATTATCAGGAAGAAAAACTTTTGTTCAAACAATTTTTACGTCAGATAATCAGTTAATTGGATAATTATCAATTAGCTAATTAGCAAAATTCTAAAAAATTTTTATTGGCTCAAAATGTTCGCAATAGCTTGAAACACGGAGAAAAAAAGTTTTTAGAAAAACTTTGAAAATTTTTCACTTACATTTTTTTTCGAGACTTGAAAAAATTTCGAAAATTCAAAATATTTTTTTCCTCCAAAAGTGATCAAATTGCATGAAACGCGGAGAAAAATGCTTTTCAAAAAAAACTTAGTGAATTTTTCGTTTCAAGAATACCTCAATCACCAATATTTGTAGTTGGAGTTCAGTAAATCTCGGCAGATTTTAGTAATCAGGAATTACGGATTATTAAGTGGAAAGGTCTGAAACTGAAAAACGTTAACCATACGATATAAGAGTTTCATAACTAATTACTAAAGTCTAAATTACAATACAGCCTTATCGATATTCACAGAAACTGCACCAATGGCACAGTCAAGATCGAACCGATAGCCTGCTGTACTATCATTTTATTGATTTCAATGATGAATCAGTGGGGTTAAGATAATCACATTTGTAATAAATAAAACCTCTCTGTACCGTCAATTGTGCTAATCTATACCGGCCTACCTGTATTACCAGACCTCTTCTTTTCCTCAACAATCAAACCGAGTTGTTCATATCGCATTTGGTGGGTGATGTAAGTACATAATATCGAGCTGTATTCAATCACAATACGAGACAATACGTGTATAATATATTATGGCCCTTAATGAGGAATATGAAACGCTCTATACCGCGAGAAACCCGGTATAGAGAGGTTTTACAGTTTATCACGAAAATGTCTACTTGGCCTCATGGCTCATTTACAGCTCAAAGAAGGCAAGAAAAGACCAGGGAAACTATAAGGAACAGCCAGGTCCAGGAAGCAAGTGTTAATACACCTTCCAACATCTACTGTGACTTGTTTTGTATTAATAGTTCAAGGGGGCTATATTTATGAGTCGCATTTGAACTTGATTTCTCTTGGAGAATTTCTCTTTAGACTCTTAACTTGCGAACAAATTGAAGCAGCAAACTTTAGGCTAGAAACTTTATTGAATTGAAATAATCATTCCACGTAAC